TAAATGAAGGATCCTCTATTGATAATGCGCATTTCAAGTGTGAATTGATATATGCATCAATAATGTTTCTCCACTAGTAGCAGTGGCGGTCGTGTACAATATACTTCTATGAATAACTTTTGATTTTGCTTTTTTTAATTATTTTTTAAAAATAAATTTTGAATTGTTTTGAAAAGTCCACAAGAATCGTTTGAACAAAATAAAAATTGGTCCCACCTGTCCAAGTGGCACCATACGACTTATCCATCAAAAAATCGTAACAAAAGCTGATCCCATAAGATTTCCCACCAAAAATTCGTGGCAAAAGCTGATCCCGCAGAATTCCCGGTATAGTACAGCTGTAAAGAGTATATGCAATTCAAAGATTGATGAGAGAGAAAAGGTTGGTGATCCAAACTCAAATTCTCTGACAAAAGAATAATAAATATTTTCATGTTTGAATATCAACATATTTTTTAATTATATATTTTTAATTATCTTTTTATTTCACATATATCACATCATAAAAAATATTACAATGATTATTTCAAATAATACTCTATCCAAATCCAAAGAAAAACAGTTACTACTATTAAATAATAAAACAAAAATTGCAGTAACGATTACGATGAATACAAATGTACTTGTTTATATTCGTAGTCCGTTCTCAATTGATTAAGACCTTAAAAAAGAAATAAAAAAAAAAGGGATGAAGAGTATTTTTTTTCTATCTGCGTGTCTATTTGCAAATGCAATTGAATATTGGTTGTATAAAATAAAAAGGATTTTTTTCAAAGGGTATTTATTGGGCGTTCATGATCACAATTAATTTTCATCCAACTTACCGTGCATATTTACACTAATAATTACTATTCACCCTTACATTTATATGTATAATCTAATTAATTTTATATTTTTTAAAATCTAACACCTTAAATGCATATTTTAACAAGTACCTGTCTAATAGACCCAAGTAAAAATAATATTAGTACACATTTGCCATCTAGTTTTTCTTTAGAGGAAACTGGAAAATTAGAAGAAAACAAAAAGAAAGGCCAAAAAAGGGGTGGGGGAATGGCGTACAGAAGAGGGAAGATAAGAAAGGGATTGCCTCCCAAAAATCCACGTATGTGGCACAACATGACATGACATGACATGACATGTGTGGTAAGTCTAAGTTGGTCCTCCATGGCCTATGCTTTATGTGAGAGTGCCATAGTTGGAATGTTGGATTAGATGAAGAATAGGGACAAATTTAGGATTGGTTGTATTTGTGAAGTCGGTTTCGAGTTTACCTGCAATCAGGTGATCATCACGTGGCCAGTTTTTTCCGTCTTTGTAACTATTAATATTGGCTTTCTTTTCTCTTTTACTCCTTTAAAATCTTATCCTTTGCGCCGTGCAGTGGGAATTCAGGTGTTTTCTTTTGTTGTACTGTGTGTTGTACTTGACTTCTTGAGTTGGTGAAAGATTTTCAGACGTTAAGAAATATGGAAAATAACAGTACTACGGGAAAGCAAGTGGGTTCTGCTTCTCCATCTTCATCATCAATATCATCATTCAATCATGATCTTTTTGGCTCCAAGGAGCCAGCACCAACTGGGATTTTCTCTTCAATTTTCCCACCGCCATCTTCGGTAAATTCTAGCTTTGTGCAGTTTTTTTTTTTCCTTTGGTTGGGTTTTGTTGCTTTTGTTGAATTAATGTCCTTTTTCGTAATGTAATCATTAATCTTGCTGTGTTCCATCAGTCTATTGCTTTGATGTTTTGGAGATTTATTGAGACCGTGAAGCACTTCTTTTCGTATTGGTTTCAAGCTACAATTGATTTATTTATTTATTTGCTGCATGCTACTTTGATTTAGTCAAGCTAAATTTGTCAAATTAGAGGGTTTGAAGCCAATGGCTTTAAAGAATTGGGACATGTCATTCAACTCTTTGATTGCATAATTTTGATGAATAGGACTATGGCTAGTTATTTTGACGACGATAATGCTGGAAAGCTTGAATTTTTCCCCTTTTTTTGGTGGGGGCTGATTTTTGACAAATTAGTGTCGCGTATAGACAACCCATGTCCATGAATGATGCTTTCTCGACTATTTGGTCTGACATTGGATACTCTGTTTATGAGTATCACGTCAAAGAATACCTGCTTAGTTGGTCATACACTGTTGATGATAAAGACTGCATCTTTTGCGGGATTTAACAAAAACTAGATATTTCATCGTCTTTAAAAAAATTTAGTGATATTTTATTGTGCATGTGTTGTAATTCTTATAGAGTTTTTGGTTTCAGGTCATGGGAAGGAGTGGCTCAACTTCTGAACTCATTGAATGTATCCAGAGGCATTCTGCTAGAAGCCAGGTCTGGGATAAAGGAACTCCAGGTTGGTTTTTGCTAATATTCTGTTATAACTTTTCTTCCTTTTCCTAGTTCCTGGCTTTTGATTGTGCAACAAGGAACCTTTTGCTTGACTTATTGTTCTTCTGTGCCCAAAACAAGATACGCAAATCCTTGCTGTTCCTAACACGACTTCTAACATCACAATTTGTGTTAGAGGTTTATTAAACACTATAAATGACCTTGCGTCCTTTGCATCCATTCAGGTTAATGGAAGTTTTTTACTTACTTTAAACTTAATCTATTTAGCAGCATCTTGAATTTGGATGAGAATATGATTTCATTTTGAGCTGCTCCAAAATTATGATAGTGATGCTTAAAACTACTTGGAGGACTAGGTTCAAACTTCTTTCTTCTGCTCTCAACTTTCTTTTAAAAGGAGACATTGTTGTTTGCAAATTCAGAATTTTGATATCTCTTGTAATTTATGTTTCAGTTGCCCGACAAGGATATTTTCTTTATTGTGCAGAGAGATGTTAGATTTTTTGCGTACTTTTGTTTTGGATAAAACATTCCTTGCATTTAAGTGCTACTGTGGAGATGTGAGTCAAAACTCATATCTAATTACTGAAATCATCTTGTGGGATTAATCATTAGACTCCATCAATTTCAAGTATAGGTTTCCTCTGCCCCCAGAACTGCTGTGTGTGAATGAGAAATCTCGATGTTTGGACATCTAATTTTCTTAATTGAGGACAAAAACCTGATCTTTATGAGGCTGTTCATGCCTCAAATCCCTATGTTTATGCAGAGAATCTGGCTAAGAACAATGAGGATGAAAGCCATTGCATATCCCACAAGAAAAGGAGCTCAATATTTCAAGAAAGAGCAGAACCATGCCCTTTAAGTTCATCTTTATACTATGGCGGTCAAGAAGATATGTATGTGCAGTCTTCAAATGCTCAGTCACTGGGCTCATACCATGGCGTAAGTTTTTTCACTGCAACCATCATCATGTTTATGATTACATGGCTTGGATGTAATTGAACTAGCTTTTGATGAAATTATAGATGGATCAGTTTAAGAAACACTGGGAAAAGGATGACCAAAACGGGAACGACTCTCATTCTGCTTCTAGAGGGAATTGGTGGCAAGGTACGATTATGCATGTTGCATGAGTTTCTCTGGTTAGAGGTTCAGACAGGTCTAAGTACCATTCGAACAATGTTTATGCAGGGTCACTTTATTATTAGGACTGCCTTTTAAGCCCCCAGGCTTATGAATTCTCCAGTTATTTATTAGAGGTAAGCACCACCCCATTGATCGTAGTTTGATTTTTGAAAAATATCAAATAATTTTTTTTCTCCAACGCCACTTTCTCTGCTTTGATTAACTTATTGTACTTGCAGGGATTTCAGAGGCCTTGGCTGTGTAGTTTATATAGATTGTCTTGTGGTAGGTAAAGGCCACTTTTTAGGCAGGATATTGTGGACAGAACTTGGATATTTTTTCATGAGTTCTGCCTATCATTTGGTACAAAAACTTTCCCTAATATAATTTCGTGCTTGAAAGTTTTAGGAGTTTGTAATGGAGAAGATTTTTCAAACTTTGTAATCTGTTATTGTCTCCCTAGTCTAAACTAGTAATTACCAGACTTAACTGTTGATTTTTGAGTGAATAATGCATAATGATAGACCTTTTTGTGGTTTCTTTACCATTTCTACCAATGATGAAGCTTGTGGTATGTGATGGGCCTTTACGTGATTTTCCTTTTCTTACTCTCTTTGTAATTCTGTTGAGAAATATGAGCAGGTTAAGAGTTGTTTTCTTTGAAGATAATGGAAATAGTTTGAGGTCTTCGGCTGTGGATCTCATTGGTGGGATACAAAAACCAGTATATTTTCCAGCATAATTGACTATTTGAGTTATGGATACTCATAATTTCTTTTTTCTTTTTTCTTTTTTCTCTCTGGGCATATTGAAAGGAAGAATATTTTCAAACTTATGTCTGAATTTTCAGCATCTAGCACCTATGATGAGTTTAATTGCTAGATGGGGATAAATTAGAAAATTAGGCTTTTGAGTTGTTTTAAAGTGTTCATCAGCTGTTCCTCTGTTTATTTGCATAAGCACTTCGGATGTTGTGGATTTACTAATGACCTTCTTAACGGATGCAGTAAGTCGAATTTTAAGTGCTGCTGTAGCAGCAATTTAAATGTTTATTTATCAACGAAAAAAGCTCAGGAAGACCCATTCTCATTTGAAGAGTAAAATTATACCATGGCAGCAAAATAACAGTAAGCTTCACAAGTTTAGGTTGTACAAGCAGTTCTTTCAGCTTCCCATCATATTGGTCTGTAAGCATGACATGCAGCCTGATCATACCTTGTGATTGCCATTAACATGATTCCTGTTTCCTCTCCTTGTTTATGTTCTCTCTTAGAAAAGACACAAACATGTACAGATATCACCCAACATACTCTGCTTGAAGAAGCATAGTAAATTATGCTGTGGTAATGGTAGGATACTTGGTTATAAAAGAACTCTCTAATTTGAATTGGTAACAGTCTAGAAGTTTTCTTGCTGCAACAAGTACCGTAACATACATTGCTCGTATCTTGTGTATAGCAGGTTTCTGGTTCGAAAAACTAAAATAGCCTTGGGTTGGGATTCTCTTTTATAGATTGTAAGTTTTGTTTTATAGACAGGAAGCTTAGTTTGCAGGGTAGAGATACATGGGAATTGCAGCAAATGCTACTTGCTGGAGGTCCTGCAAATCTGCCATTTATTTGGTAATTTGAGGCAGAATTTATATCTAAAACCAAGTGGAGCCTCTAGTCTAACCAACTTGCTGTTGGTATTTACAGTAATCCCTTCTGTACTCTCTATCATGCGCAATACAGAGAAATAGTCTTTCATAAGCCGCTGCCATCTTTGTGGCAGTATATAATTTCAAACCCCTTTCTCTTGCCAACTGACCTTTCTTTTCCAGAATTACTCTTCCATCTTCCCAAACCTCATACAGAGCTTTCTTTAGTGAAGGCACGTTTGGTGAAAATGTGTACCCTATCTCTTTGCTGACAATCACAGATTCAGTAATGCTAGCTAGTTTTGTGGCCATGAGAGGCTTACCAGTCAGGACAGCCTCCAACAAGGTGTGATCTAACCCTTGAGCTCGAAGAGTTGGGTTTACCAGTATATCTATTGCATTGTAGAACCCTGCCAACTCGGCTTGTTCCAGTGGCCCCAAAACCAGTAAATTGGATCCTAGCTCTTTATATCTTTCACCCCATGGTCCATCTCCAGCGACAAGAACCATGACATTATCCCGAATTGTAGAATTTTCCTTCAAAATTTGCTTCAAAGCTTGAAACATCAATGGGTGTCCCTTGTCCTTCACTAACCTTCCTGCCATCCCTAGGACCAATGCTTTGGATTGTGGAATGCCAAACTTGGACTTGAAGACTTTGGCCTTTAGTGCATCTGGCTTGAATACTCCCTCATAAACACCGTTAAGAATAATGTGAACACGATCCTCTGGTATCATGTAGATCCGTTTGAGGACATCTCCGACATGATCACTAGTGGCAACATGGTGAGCATAACGAGGGAAAAACCTCACCTCTTCCACAACCTTCTTCGCCCTTTGGGTCAGTAGATTTGACTGGGGCTTATCGGGAGATCGCAGAAGCTCCTGAATGATGTCAGAATGAATGGATTCATATGCAATACCATGCCAACTAACAGCTAAATTAGTCAGATCCCTTGCTCTTGTGTGCATAAGCCCAACACTTTCGGTGTGGATCACATCAAAGGCTCTTCCTGTCGAGTTTTCAGTTTGAAATTGCTTCCACACACCAGCTTGGTCCAGATAACCAGCAGCTGTCGGTTTCGAGAGGTGAAATTTTAAGTTGCTCATTGGATATTCCATGAAGGAGTTCGACGATGCAGTAGTGAAGATATGGAGCTCATGCCCCCTTTCCACGAGAGTAAGATGGAGAGTCGTGGCATGGCGTTCGAGCCCTCCGGCATGATGTTTATCAGGCCATTTCTTGACAAAGAGGGCTACTTTCAGAAGTCTTGCGGGTGGTTTTGATGGGAAGTTAAGATTGTTCCATGCTGATGGATATGTAAGCAAGTTAATCGTTCGGTTTTGTTCCTGCACTGCCGTTTGGATTTCTGAATAGCAGCATTTAGAGCAGTGAGACCAGTACAAGAATGAAATAGATGAGAAAGTAGACAGGAAAACGAGAACGCAGCAGCAGTACCGGAAATTGAACAAATTTCTCTGATCATTTGCCATGACACTTCCAACAATCAGAATCTGTTCCTCTCACAGAAGAAAAGGGAAAGGGTACTGTCACTTGCAAGAAAGATGCATGTAAAATTTGGTCTCTGTTTTGGATCCGATGAAGCTTGGTTTGCACATTATTTTCAACTTGGTTAATTTGGTATCAAATTTATAAACGTCTTGGATCCAGCTTCGTTGACTTGAAGGATTACTATAATCTGTTCCACCTGCTACTTTGCTGACTATTTCCCAACCAAACAGTGGTTCCAAGCCTTGAGAAAGCAAGTTGCGCTCTTAGATAACAGACTATAAAATGTTTACAAAGTGAAGTCAGCTCCTCACCTGCAGCAAAAAAACTAAGGGTTGTGCCATAGCATTCCCTTGGTCTAGTTGGGTCTGTATACCCACTAGCCCCTTACCACAGCCTCCTTAGGTTCCCTTTCCCCCCCTAGATTAGGATAGACTAGGTTATACAAATGTATCGTTGCTGAAAAAAAAAAAAAAAAAGAAGTCAGCTCGTGCCCATGCTTAGCTTTGAATCAATCCACCGCATGCCCACGTACAGCGTACCTAAGTCATTAATTTATGTAGTTGTTAAAAAGGATACTACCCAATTAGGGATTATAATTTATGAAGAATCTCTCTAATTCTTATCCTCGATAAATGTTATAGTAGTACAGTACTACCATCCTCATTTTCCCTAGTATAATAGTAGTATTTCGTTTCATGAAGAACGAGAAGAATTAAAGCGCCCATTGCCTTTATATCTCTTTTCTTGACCTTTTTCTTCCCTCTATCCAGATTATAAGATACAGTGACAATCAAAAGTTCAAAACAGTGTGAAATCCTAAACAACCGAGAGTCACTATACTGTGCTGCACAGATATTTGATGATAGTACTATGATTATTCATTGATTTAACTAACTCCTATAGACTATTTCACAACACAGACTCTTAAGTCAGTGATTGTTGCTTAGCCAGGCGAAGGAAATTGACTGAATATAATGATGATCTTGCTGCTGCATAATTCTACCGAGTAAAGGCATGCAACACCACGTATATGTAAATAACAAGCGCAGATGGCACCAATATCACCAGCGGAAAAACAGCCCCCGCAGTATACCAGCTCCGGCAGGCCAATGTTCCGAGCTTAATTTGAACAAAATCCACGAGTGCCAATGTCAAGAAAACACAACCAGCGACAGAACCTAATGCCGAAGCCAAAATCCCAGATTGCAGAACCTTCAAATTGACACGAGCAACGGAATGCATTTCAGCGCCATAATATCCGTCCTTGGAACTTCTGATGGCCTGTTTGAGGGCTAAGGCAATAAGGCTAGAAAAAAGGAAGGAGCTGAAAGAGTAGACATGAAATTTTACGAAGTCTTCCACCATGCCAGAGCTTGCGGTACAAACTGGGGACGCAACAAGGGTGTTATTGGGGTCCCCGAGGTTCCAAGCAAGGCCTAGGAAGACTCCTACGGTGAACAATGAATTTACGTTCACTATGCCATCTAAGGCAAGAACGTGTATGCTGGTAATGGAGGTGCTAGCAGTTTTCTCCCGGTCAATGCTAGGAGTATGGCTACTCATTGAATTGCTGATAAGAGAGTTTGAGAACTAGCAGTTTCTTTGATCAACACTTCGAGAACATTTATGTTGTTTAATTCATCTATATATTTGCGGGGTGCTTTTTCTTCCTTCTTCATTTGTATTTTGTTGGTCCCAGTCCCGGTGGAGGAGTGGTGTCAAAGGTAGAATCTCTAGTAACGTCTCTTCAGCGGCAAGGGAGGGAAAGAATTTGGTCTGTCTGTCGATTGAGCAAGCTAACAAAACTGAAAAGGGAGGGAAAGAACTTGGTCTCGCAGTACAGAAAGGGAAAAAACTGAAAGCCAAAAGCGCCGTTGCCGGGGATCGAACCCGGGTCACCCGCGTGACAGGCGGGAATACTCACCACTATACTACAACGACTTGTTGCTTTGTCATTTGTGTAATTTATTAGTTATTCGTGGTTTTAAGATGAGAATGATCGAACATGATAAGGGACGTCTCTTGATCGGTTGCTCCTAATGAAGTATGACTAATCTTTTCGTTTTTTTCTTTCCCTACTTTTATTTCTTTTCTGGGTATAAAAGCATACTTGCTTATTTGCATGGTTGTGTTAGTTTTACCATAGAAGCGATGTTAGTATGCTAAATCAAATTATGCCGGGAGGTTTTTAGCTTTGTTTTAACAGGATCACTAGAAGAATTTGTCCACACACGGCAGTCTATTTACGGTACTTAGGTACAACATACATACGTCGTCTGCTATTTCGTGTATCAAGTCTTTGAACAGCACCGATCCACTCAAGATCCTGTTATGTTGACACATGAATGGACTTGCTTCTCTCAGCAAATTTTGTTCTCATTTCTCGCAAGCAATACACATATGAATACATGGCGTGTGTCATCATTTGTTAACAATGGACAGGATTAATCAAATTTAAAATGATCACATCTCCTTCTATCTAGTAAATAACGATGCATGCCATGCATTCAAACGTGCATTGTAGGAAATGGAGAGCAGATCCATCGAAGAAGAACTATATTCGCTATATCTATGTTTTTTTTTTAGCAAGTGAACATGCTTACTAATGATTAATCACTGGGTTGGTCTAGCAGTTAAGGGCAGAGTTCTTTTTATCGTCAGACTTAAAATTTCAAAAAAAAAAAAGGAAAAAAGAAAAAGCGTAACATGCACAAATCAGAATGAATGGAAGTACTAAATTCAGCTCTTAAACAATTTTCTTAAAAATCAGGATGACAAACACAAGTACTTGCGTATTAGTTAGCTAATCTCCTTGTCCCTTGGAGTGTGAGAATGGAAGTCGGGCAGAGGCATCCATCCTATGCTTCGCATTGTCCTGAAAAAATATCCCAGATACTCTAAACAAGTTGCGTGTGGCAGTCACGTACTCACATGGTACTTTGATGGAGCAGTTCAATTCAAGGTGCAGATGGGGGACACCACACCCAAGTCTACATCCCCCAAAAGCTCTCCATACAAAATGCGGTTTAGCATCAGTAGTGACTGGTGGGGTTCATTTTCATCCGATCATGTGCTTCCGCACAACTTTGAGATTCATACCTCTCTACGTCACCCATTCATTCACTCTCTCGCATTAAGTACGTGAGTTGAAACATATGATCGATTCGGTTTGTTTGGATTGCTTCGTATTTTTCCAATTTTATTTACTTACATCATCTTTACAATTTTCAATACACCTTTTTATCTTTCCAATATCTTTATATCTCACATACATCACATCACAAAAAGTGCTACAGTAAAAATATCCCAAATAATCCCAAATAACTTACAATCCAAACAGACCGATAACTCACCATTGACATCACTTGGTTAACCGTTTGTTATGGATATATATCAAATCAACTTGGTTAGTAATTGTGCCACTTAACTCATCACAATTCAGCTTAGCAGTGAGATTATTCAATCCTTGTTTGGATTGCGTATTTCTGGATTTTTTTTAGAAAAATTACTGTAGCGATTTGATATATGTGAGGTAAAAATGTGATTGGAAAATGTGTTCACGAAAAATGTAGAAATTTTTCTTTGAAAAATTGCTATCCAAATAAGGTTAATGTTTTTTTACCAATTGAGCTAGATTTTGGGACATTCTTTAATTTTTAGCACACTGATTGCTTACCACCTTTATGTGTGTGTGTGTCTATATATATATATATATATATATATATATCCTTGTTTAAGATTGAAACTAACTAGATGGAAAGGGGCTCGACGCCCACAATAATGGCGGCAGCGGCATCAAGCTGGGTACACTGGTGAGTGGGCTCATCCTTATCAAGTGTTTAATCGACAAATCACTACTATTTTTAAGAGTTCAATGGGCCTACGTACGAATTTGAGTGCGTTGGCCTTTTCCGGGCGACTTTCTTATTTATTGCAAAATGTTAAAGTAAAATTTTATCTTCTGTGTTCTTCTAATCCCTGCCATTATCGGTAAAATTGTGCCAAAAATACATAATCATTTATTTAGTCCTTTTGTTTGTGAACTTACTTAGAACACCAATGCCAAAAAAAAAAAAAAAAAAACAACTTTTAAAAGTCAATGTGAAGATCTTATGAGTTAACCACTCTAACTAGTAGAACTGTTTTTCAGTTATTTTTTTCCTTAGGGGGCTCAACCGTTACAATAGAAACAGAAAGCTGTTGATCCGGACTCCAAATGCATGCGCTAATCAAGCACGTTGGCAAGGACCAGTATATTACTTCCCCAATAAAAGAAATTCAAAGTATTTGACTGTGGATTCATTTCTGACGACTTTAATGCCTGAGAACCAAAATCAGACTTCGATTAAAAAAAAGCAGTTAATTAGATTAGATGCGGCAGGTTATTAAAACAAGAAACGATGAAATGAGATTACTGTGAAGTGCAACAAACAAACCAAAGGTTTTGATTATCTATTGAAGTTAGTAGTGTTGGTGCTTCAGGGCTTGTTGTTCGATTCATTATTTTAACTGATTATAAATTCTGATTTTGGATAATGAAATCGGCCTTGTTTGGCAGATAAGTTTTTTGTCAAATTTATCTGTCACAAGTTTTTTAAAAGCTTTAGCTACAGTAACCTCAAAAAACTTTTCAAAATTTTTAAACCATACACTTAAAAATATTCAAAAAAAATAAACACACTTCAAAAATTTTTTAAAAAACTTGTACAGTAAAGTTTTAGACAAACACCTAAACAACTCACTTGCCAAACAGGGTCACGGTTTTTATGGTATTTTCGATTGATTTTGTATTCTGATTAGATTTTTTTTTAATAAAAAATTAAAATATATGATCACTTAAAGAGTAGTTTTTACTTATTCTGATTATACTCTACAAATAGTTTTTATAATTAGATTTTGTAAAATTCAGAACAACTAAGAGCAAGGACAGAGTGATGCTACTCTTATCGGATTTCTTAAGCATCCGGTAAGGCCGCTCCTCAACTCAACTGCGCGTGAAAGCATATAGCTTTCCTTAATCACTAGACTTCCTGTTCGTCCTTGGGTTAAAGATCCCAAAAAAGACAACGAATAATCTGTTTTTTTGCCGCTCCTGGGAACATGCTAATTGCAAAGTAAATACATTCGACCGACCAGACTCTTTCGGCTGTCCATGTGGAAGCATTAGTTAAACTTGTTTGTATTGCTTCTACATTGGATACAGACAGCTATGGTGGTAGTATGGTTGATCTCCCCAACCCAAAAGGCAAAAGACAACCAAATTGTATTTGGTTTGTCAAAAGAGCGTTTGGATTGTCATTATTTACTTACTTGTATCACAAACATAATTTTAAATATAATTTTTTATTTTTTTAATTATTTTTTTATTACACGTACGTGACATTACAAAAAATACTACGATCATTATTTTAAATAATCTCCTGTTCATACACAGGGCTTCACAGAATTCGGATCAGACTTAGAGGTTAAGTATGGTGGCCTATCCCCAAACCTAACATGCTAAGTCAACCATGCAGGTGAACCGGTGAAATAAGTTAAAGCAACCCCAACTATAAAACCATAGTACTGTAAAGCAACCCCAACTACAAAACCATGGTATTGTTGACGTCACAAAAAGAAATAATTTCAGAACCCCTCCTAAAATTTTTTATAATTTCACTAAGCTCCCTTAAAATTTTAAAAATTACACTTACCTCTCTTGTCCACCTAATATGACAATGTTAATCTTACCATTTTAATAAAACTCTCTTGTTGGGTGTGCATATGCAAAGAGTGGGTTTTATAATCATTGTATCACAAGAAACACTAACTCAATAAAATAAAATAAAAAGGATCCAAAACTACTATCAAATTATGATAATTTTACCAATCCAAAAATTCACAAACCCTAAAAGTGTAGTGATGACACTTTCTTCTCCGATTTAGAAAAAACATGTGCATTACCAATAAAGCACCATTGAATCATAATGATAGAGTTATTGTTATAATTGCTTATTAAACAACAAATTTGGTACTGAAAACTTGACAATCTTTTCTTATATTGTACTAAAATTTTATATTAGTACTGCTTTAGAAAGTAATTGAACTATACAAGGTGAGAGTATTTTGGGATATTCGTTTAGAATGTTGACAAAATTTAAGGTTTGGTTACCAAACGCATCAAATCAGAGGTGATAAAATGTAATTTTTAAAATTTTAAGGGAGCTCAATAAGATTATCAGATAACTTCGCAGAGGTTTATGAAATTATCCCTAACAAAAATCCCTGCCTCCAACAAATGGCAGGTGGATTGCGTGGGTAGACAAATGTACGATCCAACTACTAAACCCCAACTGAACTCCTGACCAAATATGTGGAGGTTTTCCAAACCCGATTACCTGCCCCAAACTCCCTTTAAATGCTTGCCAAACCCTCAAAAAAATACGAGTGATTTCGGAAGGAATCTTAATTTATCAAAGCCCCACCACCTCTCAATTACTTATTCATTAACTGCATCTCAATTCTCATTTCTATCAGTTTCTCCCACTACTACTACTACTACTACAACATCATCAACAACTCTGCACCAAGTCCCTACCGTTCTTTCACTGTTGAACTTTACTAGTACTACTACAAAGTCTAGTGCTACGATCAGCTAAAGGTAATCGTATGCTGCTGGCTTCGTTTTATGGCTTCCGACGAGAGAGAAACTCGTTTGCTTCCATCTGAATTATTCCACCAAGAAGACCATGATGTTTCCTCCGAAGATTACAGCAACAGCAGCAGCAATAATAATAGTGGTGGTATCCTGGTTTCACCAAAAGGGTTGCGTAGTTTGGAATCAAATTTCAGTTTTAGTGGATCAGCGTGCTCGTCTTGGTCGGAATTTAGCTCCCCGATTAGTTCGGAGTTGGGGTCGACGTCCGAGAGTAATGAAAGTGAAGAAGATGATCAGGAATTGTTCATTTCTGAGTTGACTCGTCAGATGGCAGAGTACATGCTCCAGGATGATGATGACGACGACGACGACAATCATAATAATAATAATAATAACAATCAAGATCATGAAAGTTCAGTTTTCAATTACGTCCCCGAAAACCCTGAGGTACTTTTTGGTTTCTTTGGTGAATATATTCTAGTATCAAAAGTTTTTGGATGCATATCTAAATTAATGTCCCTTTTTTTTTCTTGGTTTTGAATAGATACCGAAGGCAATTGATCATACAAGTACAGCTGCTGACTGGTCCAAGTTGAAGTCCGGCTCTGTTTGTTACTACAACAGTCAGGGATTCGTGAACAAATCTGAGAATCCCACTTCAGACCCTGCAAGTGCTAAGAACCTGAATACAGGGATTCACCCAGACGACGATTCAACTGATGAACAGTTCCCACCAGTCCAAGTAAGGAATTCAAGTAGTAGTAGTATTACTTACTCTGTGTTAGGTGGTACCAAATTTTGAATTAATTACAGCACAAGGCAAGGCACAAGGAACAACAGAGCATGCAGAACAAAGGCAAGGCAAAGAGATACGGCCATACCAAAAAGCCTAGTGTTCCTCTATTCCCTGCGCCACCAGCAGCTGGATCGGGTATGAGGGCAATTTTTCTTGGAGGATCCGAACGAAACGGGTCTTCTGGCACAGGTGTATTCTTGCCGAGTGCAACTTACAGCACACCCGAACCCAAAAGAAAATCCGGTAACTTCCTACTCACTCACCAGTGACTTCTTCACGCTTTTACAATCTCTTTCGTTCCTCTTTCTTTCTTCTTTTTTTTTTTTTTAAAAAAATACTTTAATTTTTTTCTACATAAATAATAGAAAAGAAAAAGAATCACTATCTATAGTTCCTAATACAAATTACTACTAGATGTGGGAACTTGTCTAGATGCCTGAATCAAGATGATATTTTGCTGTTTGTGGTTTTTCCCATTGCAGTAATTAAAACTTAAAATTACAGAAAAGGAAAAAGAAAACAAATCCCTTTTTTTCTTATAAGTACTTCTTTACTGCACTTCTTTCCTCCCAAACAAGCACTATATTTAAAATATCATTTATTCAGTTGGAGTGATTCTAGAAATGTAAAACCTTGTTTGCCGATAATATTATTAAAAAACTCATTAATCAATTTCGAGTTAAAACTCTAGAAATTATGTAGGTTAGTTTAATACTTACTAATACTACGTTGTTGAAGGGTGGTTGGGAGTGTAAGGGTGGGTGGAAGGATGGATGCGGAATCTGTTGGACGATATAAAGAAACTAGTAGAGTACTAAGAAGTTTTGGATCCTGCAATTGTTTGGTTGTGACCGAACGCAGCAAGTGATGGACCCCCCTACGTAGTACGCAAGTAAGGAGTCCTTGGGGGAGGGTGAGATTCCATACCCATCAAAACTCAGCTGTAATTTTCACACTTAAGTTAATACTAAATAATAAGAGAAGTAGAGGAATGGATTCCGGAATATGCAAAATGGGCAGCACACATGCATAGGATAGGAGGCTTGGCCCCAGAATCTTTCTGTGGCTGGCTGGCTGGCTGGCGCGGGATCCACTCATCCACTCGAGTCGTTAATTTTGGGTTCCTCCATTCAAGTGTCTCTGCGAGATACGTGTCTAAAGATGGAATCAATGCTGACCACTCAAACTCCCTCCGGCCCCAATACTCTGCTCTTATCATCTTTTTTTTCGTTGAAATCCTATTTACGATTGAGAAACAGAGGGGCAAGAATATAATTTAATATGCCAAATGGGATCCATGATCCACCTCCCCTATTTGGTTCTTGGCGGTTTTATAGCAGATGGATGCCAGTTTTATGGACCATTGTCGTGCCAATGTCGCTGCTATTTAGGAACTTCTGTTGCTGATTGAGATTTTGCCATGTTTCCTTGAGTGAATTCGCAACTGGGCTCTTAATTAAAGGCAAAAAAATATACATGTATCTACTAGCAAACTAATCCTAGTGTAAAAAGACTGGACTGTAGGAGCAATGAATAATTCGCAAGTAATTTGACTCTCTTTTTCTTTTCTTTTTTTTTTTTTGGGTGGTTGCCTTCTAATTCTATGGACGTATCAGGTTGCTCGACGGTTCTAATACCGGCGAGGGTGCTACAGGCGCTGCAACAGCACTTTAACACGGTGGGTGCGCTGTCACCCTCAAATGCTGCCTCCTCTGCTACTGCTAATCTCCCTTGGCAAAATGGTACTTTCCCATCCCACTCATCCACCTTTCTACGCAACCTCCCTGATTAAATTTAAGCTGGCTGAGTTAGTTGGTTTTGTTTGCTGGCAAAGCAACATCTACCGGTCCGATTCTAAAAAACAGATTAATAGCCTAGTACGGTACGGGAGGGAGACTGAGGATGCAATTTTTCTTTTCCTTTTTTTTAAAAAATTTTTTTTGGTGGCCTGGATTTGTTTTACAGAGGTATTGGCAAGAATAAATGGTTTGCTATCACAGCGAAAGGAACATGCAGAATTCCAGACTCGGCCGGCAGCGGCAGAGGCAGAGGCAGAGGCCGAAACCAACCACCTACAGGAGGATGTGCAGTTACCTCAAGAGTGGACGTATTAAATGATGATCGTCCCACACCTGCGTCTTGGGCGGGCTGGAAGGTGTCAAGAGATTGTTGATGAAGACAAAATAAGTTATTGCAAATAAAATAAAAGAAAGGGTTTGGACTTTCTTGGTTTAAATAAATGATATACCAAGAATCTGCAGGACGCCTTAATAATACGAGTAGCAGTAGTAGTAGTATTAGCTATTGAGCTGAAAACTGTGTCGCTTTCAGCACTTGCCCTCTGCTAAAAGGTGGTGGATGCCGGGCGGGATTGTCAAAATTGGTTGACGGAATAATAAGGAATCAATAATATATTTGTTTGTATTATAGAAACGAATAATTGAGATGGGAGTGCGTTTGTAGGTTTGCTGGCTAAGCGCAGTAATGTGATTGGATAGGAGGGTGACTCTTTGTTGAATTCCTGTGTAAAAAAGAACTAGCTGTCCTTATGCTATAGGAAGATGGTCCCGTGAATATTCAGAAAGAGAAACTACTATGGTTGGTTCACTACGTTATTATTATGTTGATCCCTTGCATCAACTTATTTTCCTTTTTTTTTTTTTTTTGCCCAACTGTTCTGGACAAAGATATTTGTAGTCGATTGTGTAACCCTTTCATGTTTTATTTATGTGGTGGATGATAGGGAATTGGGTGGGAGCGGAATAGAAATCCTATCTACTTGGTTCTTGCTTAGTTAAAGAAATTCTTGATCATAATTTATAGTAATCATACTACAGCGAATATGAAACTTGTGATTTGTAATAAAATATCGGTTCGAATACAACATATATATATATATATATATATACACACACTCTACTAATAGCAGTACATGGCACTTTTCAATCCTTAGACCTGGGAGAAAGAAAGATCTTACGGTAAATCTTCATATGGACTGCGTTGACAAATGGGACCAGTAGTTCCGTGTGAAAGCTCATCATGAGGAATTGTAGCCGACAAAGGAACTACGAAAGCACTTTTTGACTGTTCGATATTATACATACCCACTTGATTCTTGGAACGTATACGGCTGCAAACGTCAAAATCAACTCATCGAGTGGTGGTCGTGCCAGCAGCAATAGCACCCAAAGCCCCCACTCCTCGCTCTCCACATAATGATAATGGATAGAGAGATTATTAGCGTTGCAATGCCCCCATCTACCTGTGGAGGGCGTAGACAGCGCCCCTATCTAGTTGCATCCAAAGTACTCCTCCGTCATGATGGTGCGGAAATGGAATAATAGAAGTGTGCGGCAGTGAAGTCGGCCGGGATGGCCTACATGGGCCGGCCAACCACCGCCGAAATGATCTCAATAAATATTCCATCTACGTCACTATTCCATCTTTCTGATCCTGCGCTAGCTGGAGCAGGAACAGATGTGAGAGACAGAGACATTTCTCTCTCTGTAACATGCATAAAAGTCGCAATGCTTGTGCATTAGTATCAGTATAAGAGTCGAAACAAGGAATCTTTTCAGAAGAATTGAACTTGGTTTTGTATTAGGCAACTTTCCTCACTGGTCCAACTGGATATCAATTAGTATCAAGCATGATTTCTTTGTGGAACAATATGTATATCAGGCGTATAAAATACATACATACCATCGAAATGCACAATTTTCGTACTGTGTGAAATTTGAGTTGACGAATTTTCAGACCTCTAGCAACCAAGTAATGTATCGTGTTGGTCAAAAAAGGAAAAAAACATAACGTCAAATCATCAGCAAATTATCTATCGCCTTTGATGTTTTCCTTTATTTTTTGTTCAAATACAAAAAGGTCAGAAATATATATGTTATCAGCTTTCTCATTTTTAAAAGCAGAATTGCTTCTAGACATGATCGCAGTAGATGAGAGCGATTACGAAAGTCAAACGAATGAATTGTCCGACTACACTAAGATTAGGGGTGTTCGGTAATCGGGGGAATACGCTAAAGAAAACATTTTGGTAATTTGGAAATCAATTTTTTAATATTTATCATCCAAACTTTAGTTTGATAATTTAGATCAGAGAACTGGTGATTCAGGAATATTCGAAATGTCAAGAGTTAGTTAAATTTTCTTAAGAAATTATTACAACTAGATAATGTCCTATATTTTTTTTCAACAATATTCAATCAACTTAACTCGAACAAACATGACATGCAAAAAAAAAAAAAAAAAAAGGTTCATAATCCAAAGTCCTAGCTCGTAGTCTTAATTCTTAAACAAAATTGAAGTAAACAAGAATTTGAAATTTATTTGTCAAACTAAACTCTATCATGTCAATTTTCATCTAAATTTGACTTTCAAATAGAGTTATATAGTTAAGTAAGCTAATTAGTATTTAGTAATACGATTAAGAGTTACTCTTATATTTAGTAATATATATATATATATAACATTATATTATAAAATTTTTTGATAATTCGGCAGGTAATCGGTAATTTGATAATGTACTTTTAACGTCTATTCTCGAATCGTTTTATTGAACATTATATTTTGATTTTTTTGAATTCCATTTTATCGATATTCGAAATCCGATCTAGATTGGATCAGCCAATTATTTATTTATTGTTTAAATATGAACACCCCTAATTATGAATCCACTGTAGTTAAATTATGCCGAAAGGAGTTTTCAATTTTCCTAGTCTTCTTTCAAGATTGATGCACTGATCCATCACATTTGGACTTGATTTCCCACCGGTGAAATAATATACATGGCACCGCCTTAAAGCGACTTTTATTGGATAACCTGTATCAATCATTTAACGTGGGATCTAACACTCGTCATGCTATGTATTACCTTTTTGTCATCCCTAGTGATTCTTCTTGCAGAGGTCCAAGTTCCCTGCAATTCATGTTTCCTTTGTAGAGTGTTTTTTTTTTCCATTATTTTTTAGGGTTTTTTTTATTGTTTTCTCAGTTGAAGTTTAATAAAGTAACATTAAACACGAAGGAAGTTTTAATTGTTGTTACTTTAAAACGAGGCCTAGGAATCGCAAATGACTCCTGAATGTTATTTCCTTTAAGCACGTCACGATTCTTATTTTTTATTTCATTGGCGGGTCAAGTTTAAATTTTACTCCGCGTTGAAAATTGAAATTTTCAACAGTGACGATCCCCTAAAAGCACGTGTCCTAGATGGATTTATACCTTGTAGTATGTATCCTGACGTTAATCAACCTATATAGTAAAAGCGCGAATGGGATTGTTGAGGGTGGTGGTTGTTCTGCTGACTTGGCTGAGTTTTATTGGTTGGATGGTGGTCGTCAATCACGTGGGAGTTGCGTGCTTTCGCTGGGAGCAAATGTGCAATCCTTGTTCTTGTTGTCCGAGAGAAGAAGACTTGGACCTTCGGTTATTGAGAAAGAACGTTTCTCTGGATTGCCAGCTGAGTGAGCTTATTATGACGGTTGCTCATAGTTTGACCGATAGCAAGCGTTGGGTGATGGGCTCGATGTGGGTTGATATGATTTGACAGTATTGCCCTTCTTTTAAAAAAAAACAAATGCACCGTTCTGCCTTGCTGAGCTCCTTCCTCTCTGCGATTTGGTGAGGAGAAGCTACAGCTCTGCTCTAGAGAGCTGCCGAAAAAACACTTTTTTGCTTTTCCCTTTGATTGACAAGACTGAAACCCTTTGTTTCTCCGATGTACAGTATTGCCCTTCTTTTAAAAAAAAACAAATGCACCGTTCTACCTTACTGAGCTCCTTCCTCTCTGCGATTTGGTAAGGAGAAGCTTCAGCTGTGCTCTAGAGAGCTGCCAAAAAAACACTTTTTTGCTTTTCCCTTTGATTGACAAGACTAGAACCCTTTGTTTCTCCGATGTATGCAGAGGTTTCCATGTTTTTGGCTCCGCTTTTTCCAGCTTTCGTCATCATGATCCGCGGTAATTGTGCCTCATTTTCATTGTCCTTTTCTTGCCCTCCACTTGCTTGCTTCTTCATTCTCAGCTGTTGCCTCGTTTCTTTTCCCTGTTTTTCTTTTCCTTGTAAGAGTTGCTGTTTTGCTGCCTCATTGAGTAAGGTTTAATTCCGCTGTGATTGTTTGCATTTCACTCCTTCTGATCGTGTTGTCTTCATTGCTGTGCTTTTTTGGGTTTTTCCCCACCTAAAAATTATGCCATCCTAACTGTTGAATTGCCTCTTTGCTTTGCTTTGAACCTCGTTTTGCTTGTTCTTTTGCTTCTCATGCGCCCCGTTTAATTAAGTTTCCTGCCCGAACCTTTTCGCCTGTGTTTTACATTTTCCTCCTGTCAGCAGTTCTTGCACTGCTGTGTTTTTTTCTTTTTTTTTTTGCCTTTCGTTCAGCTGCTATTACTACGTACAAGTTATCTTGCCCCCCTTCTGTGTTGTGATTTTCCCCTTTTCCCCTTGAATTTCTTATATTTTTTCCCACTTTGTTCTCTGGTGCTTGTTGTGCTGCATTTACTCTTTCATATTGTATTTTCTTACCCTTTTTCCTCTCGCTGGTTTATTGGATGCAGAAGCAATTGTTGTCCTCCTCTGTGTTGCTCTGCTGCTGGCTGATAAAGACTTCTTATTTAAGGTTAAGGTACCATTACTTATTCTCCCTTCTATATGTGCTTTTACCTTGCTCGTGCCTAATAATCATTTGTTGCATGCTTTTGTTACCTCACTTTTGAATGTTCCCAGCTTTCCTCGGGCTTTTACCTTCTCTTTTCTTATCAAATCTGTTCTATGCTGCTGTGTAAACTCTGTGCTTTAGCTTTTCTTCACTCTGTTTCTTTTTTAGTATGTTGCCTGGGTTCCGTGGTGTTGTGTAAGGACTGTACTTTAGCTTTTCTTTACTCTATTTTGTTTTGAATATCTGCTCAGTTTCATGCTGCTGTGTGAAAGCTGCACTTGAGCTTTTCTTTCTCTTCTTTTTTTTTGGGGGAAGGAGCCATTTGGTGCATGCCTCTCTTATGCCATTCCTTTGTGTTTCAATCTTGCTAGAACTTTGGCCTTCTTTATCCTTATTTATTTAGCGCTCTTGTGGTGTATAAGAGGTGTGCGTTAGTCTTTCTTTTCGCCTGCTAAAGTATATAGCGATCAGATGGATAGGAATGCTTTGCGTCGCAAAAAATATGCAGAGATGCCACCTCTGAAGAAAGCGGAACTTCTGCGTTCTCGTAGGCAAACTCGAGCTTCAAAGAAAGCTGAAAAAGCTTTAGCTCCGCGCATTCGTAAGGTCCCGTTAGGATATGTGGAAACTGGTGTGTCGTTTCCAAATACTCATCATATGCCATATCATGGCGAAGATCCTGCGTCTGTGCATTCTCAGCCGTTGGGGAACACAAATGCTGTGTTTCCAGCTAATAATGCCTTTGCGATTAGAGAAGGATTAGAATTCATGTCGTGTAATCCACCGGGTTCCTTTACTGGTTATGCTTCCTCCTCCTTTGGAAAAGAAATGCGTCTACAAAATACACTTGCTCCTGAAGGTATAGCGCCTTTGTTTAACATGCAATCCCTTGAGCCATTTAACTCCCACTCTCTAGCGGCGTTCAGCATTATTTTCCTTTCTTGGCTGTCATTATTTCCCTTGGATCTCTC